TATCCCCTCATTTCCCCAGGGAGGACGAGGCCCTCCATGGGGGTGTCCATAGTCTGTCATTTCATCCAGGGCAGGGCCTAGACCCTTCCCCAAGAGTTCAGGGTGAGAGTGCACCTCACATTGTTGGATGGGAGTCCAAAGTCCATGTGTATACTCGGGATAAATACTGATCTGCTGCCCAAGGCTCAATAGATTACCTAGGCCTCCTCACTGACACCCACATTCAGGGGGTCTTGATCAGTCCCATGCTGGATTCCCAGGCTGATGCCTGGGATTCAAGAGTTAACCTTTGTCAGGTCAGCTGTTTCTGGGGGTTAAACCAGTCCAGTCTTAATCCCTTTGGTCATCAGTCCTCCCTCTCTGTTACTGGATTTCTTGAGTCCAGCTCAGTACTTAACCGAGGGAGTCTGCCTCTTCTTCGATCAGCCACTGAATGAAGTTTCTGTTTCCCAGACTCTCTGGCCATAGGATTGTAGGCTGGCACTCCCCAGATCTATGTCTAAAATCCATATATGAGAGAGTACATGCCATGTTTCTCTTTTTGTAACTGGGTTACCTCACTCAGGATGTTTTTTTCTAGTGTCATCCATTTGCCTGCAAATCTTAGGATTCCATTGTTTTTTTTCTGCTGAATAGTACTCCATTGTGTAAATGTGCCACATTTTCTCTATCCACTCTTCGGTTGAGGGACATCTAGGTTGCTTCCAAGTTCTGGCTATTACAAATAAGGCTGCTATGAACATAGTGGAACAGACATCTTTGTAGGTTCTCAGTAATGTTAGCTCAGCGATGCAGCTGTTGCCACTCATGTTAGCTGATGATGAGAAAGGCGATAGGCTGTCCATCCAGTTTGATCCAGTTTAATTCAGATTGGGATGAGTAGCTCTCTCTCACTCTAATTCGGAGTTGAGAACCGTAGATGATCAACAAGAATTTGTCAATACCTGCCTGTGTGGACAGCTGTTTCTTTTCATTTTCAATGATTTTCCAGGAGACCCAAGGGCCAGAGCATGGCGTTTATAAGCATATTGGTTGATATCGATTGTAAGGTGCAAAGCCAGAATTTGTTTTAGGCCATATCAATATGTATTCTGATTTCATATTTGTAGATTTACAATTATTTCTTAATAGGTCTTTTGTGGCTTTCTGTTATTCTTTGCTTGGTCCCATGCTAAGACTTTTTATTTTTAGATTATCTACTAGATCTATGGTTCTCACCTTATGGATTTCGACTGCTTTGATGGTCAAATAACCCTTTCACAGGGGTCGCCTAAGACCATTGGAAAACACAGATATTTACATTATGATTCATAACAATAGCAAAATTATGTTATGGTTGGGAGTCACCACAACATGAGGAACTGATTAAAGGGTTACAGCATTGGGAAGGTTGAGAACCACTATACTAGAGAGACGTTTATGAATCGAATTGTGCGTTATAAACCCATTCTACTTTATTAATATTCTCAGATTAGTCATATAAGAGAATATAACAATTTACACTCTTACCAGCATTATATAGGGTTCCAGGTGAGCAATAGCTTACCTCCTATTTTGGGTTGTCGGAGCTCTATAAATTCTTAGAAAGTGTTGCAATGTACTTTTTTTGTGGTTCTGAGATCTTAAATGTATAAGTCATCCATATTATTTTTTTCCTCAAATCATCTGTTTGTGTCTTTAGCCCATTTTGTCCTGTTTGCCTTATTTCTTTTTTCTTTTCTTTTTTTTCTTTTTCAAGACAAGGTTTCTCTGTATTGTTTTGGAGGTTGTCCTGGAACTCGCTCTGTAGACCAGGCTGGCCTTGAACTCACAGAGTTCTACCTGCCTCTGCCTCCTGAGTACTGGGATTAAAGGCGTGCGCCACCACCGCCCTGGCTGTTTGCCTTTTTTCTTAGTTGAAGAGTGTGTGTGTTCCCCTCTTGATACTTCACTGGTCTGAGCCTTTTCTTTTCTCTTCCCTGTTATTCACCTAAACGTCCACTAGAGGGCATTCCCAAAGTTTTACAGTGTTCAGTTTCCTCGCCTGTTAAAATTATACTGTATTTTCAAGTTAAAAGTGACACTACTTACTGTACAAACTTTGCCTGAAGATATGAAACACTAATGGCAGAAATGGGGAAGGAACCCCATCTTTTTCTGGTATGGAGGATTATGAAGAAATGTCCCTAAAATTAACAGTATTTCATTATATTTTTAATTCTTCAACATTGGAAACTAAATTGATAGGTAATATTGAAAGTGGAGTAGTGAGGGTGAATTAGGTCAGCCAGTCAACAAACAGAAAACTTCACCGAGATGCTGGAGAGATAGCCCAGTGATTGAGAACACCATTGCTCTTGCAGTGACCCAAGTTCACTTCCCCGCACCCACAGGATGGTCACAGCCATCTGTAACTCCAGTTCTAAGGGAGCCAGGGCCCTGTTCTGGCCTCCACAGCCGCTAGGCACAAGTGTGGTGCACATATCTACTACACACATGCAAACATTCATACACATAAAATAGGTAAATCTAAAAAAATAGGAAAAAGTTCTCCAAAGCCATATTGTATGTATGTTCTGAGAAGACACTTTTGCCCCAAAATAAGAGACGAGGGTTGTAGAGATGACCCAGCTGTTAGAGGCTCGGCTCCCAACCAAGACGACAATATAAGGAAAGAGTTTCTTAAAATCAGCATTGCTCTCCATAGGCTAGGTTATTGCATGACTCTGTGAGCTTCCTCTTCACTGGTGGTATGCAGGGAGATTATGAATGAACATTAACCATTAGGACTAGGGATGGGACGTATCCAAAAGTTACCTTACTTGTGTCATTCTTACATTAGTTGAAGGAACTGAGGTCTGGGTGTTTAGTCAAAGTTGTTATGGTATGTACCTGTCTTCTTTTGGACAACGTGACTTCTGGTTCAACCCCATGGAAATGGAATCCATGCCTTAGGAAAGGAAACTCATGGGTATTTCTGACTTTATGATCTAGATTATTGATTTCAGTTTGATCCTATGTTGGTTCCTATGCACATTGACAGAAATACTACACTATTTATTAACACAGCACTCTCGTTACCGAGCCTTGGAATGATATTTTATTATGATCTAACAAATAAAGCTTGCCTGAAGTTCAGAGTACAAAGCCAGTCACACTAGTTAGCCATAGAGACCAGGCAGTGGAGGCACACACCTTTAATCCCAGCACTTGGGAGACAGAGGCAGATGCTCTCTGTTAGTTCAAGGCCACCCTGGGCTACACGAAATTGATCCAGTCTAAAAGAGAAACAGAGCCAGGCAGTGGTGGGAACACTTGGGAGTCACAGGCCTTTAATCCCAGCACTAAGGAGGTGGAGACAGGAAGGGATGGGGCTGGCTGGAGAGAGGAATATAAGGCAGGGCAGTCAGACTGAGGAGACAGATCACCCGTCTGGTCTGAGCATTGGTAGAGGTTAAGAACTCCAGTGGCTGGTGGCTCTGCTTCTCTGGTCCTTCAACTTCCACCCCCTGATAGCTGACTCTGAGTTTTTCTTATTAAGACCAAAGAAAATTTGTGTAACAGAGCCTGCCTTATTCATGGCTACTCTTGCACACATAGGCCCAGCCTTGTGAGTGGATATGAATGTCTGCTATTGAGCAGTAGGGAAGCAGCAGTGATGGGAGGACCAGAGAGAACAGAGCTGCTGCAGGGAGTGCAGACGTTCTCAGGGTAAGGAAAAGCGTGTCAAGAGGGGACCTGCTGAAGTGCGAGCATCCTAAGTTCTGATTCACACTATGGGTTCTAACCCTGGCTCTGCTACTTAGAAACTCATGGCCTTTGACTACTGCAAACCATTTCAGTTTGTTTATACTGTGGAATTGATAATAATGTATTCCTCACAAGGGGTGTGTGTGTGAGTGTTAGAAAGTTATCTGTCACCTATGGCCAGTACATAATGTTAACAATAATATTGATTGTCATTCTTGTAGTGTTTTGTTTATTAGTAGTTTTAGTATTGGGACATACTTGCTGGACCTGATATTTTTGTTGTTGTTTTTGTTTTTTGGGTATTTTTTCCAAAGTAAAGATGGAATTATAGTAGATATATTATAATACAAAGTAGATGTATTATAATTAAGGCTAGAAGGAAAATACTGGAGTTTTTCTGGGGTTGCCTGTAAATAAATGCAGTTTTAGTTGCTTACATAAAATAGAGAAAGTAAACTTGGATAATATAAATGCTGGGATATCAGTGGCTGAGTCTCGATATTGCAGTTTCTCATCCCTTGTAATGTCAATTTAAGACAAACCATTTTAGTCAATTTCTCTAGTTTGATTCAAAGTCAAGCTTCTGGGAAGAGATGGTGCCTGGGAGAGATCTTAAACTGATAGCAAATTCCCATTACATTATTCATCTCCAAAACTGTAGCGTACATTTTATAGCCAATGGGTTATCACCTTCCCAGTAGACCCAAGAGTTGCATGATTTTTGCCAGAGTCCTGAAATTTAGTGACAAAGGTAGAAAGTTTTTAAGGGAGGAAAATGAGACAAAGATAGGTTTTTCCTCACTGGAGTAAGCCATGCCTTGTCCTTTGTTTCTGGAGGGAAAGCTGTTTCTAGCTGTAGAAGACCCTCATCCGATAGGAAGTTCATTTCAGACAGGCAAAGCTAGACTGTGTCCACTGGAGCACTGAGTGACGGGCCACGGATGGGACGGTCGGTAGACAGAGAAACAGTGAAACCCTGAGATTTGTGAATGTGAATTTAGCCACTGACTAAGCTTCGAAGATGAATATTCTGGAAATACCACCCACTTTCAGATGTGATGACACAAATTAGAGGGGGGGGGAATGTGCTGTGGATCTCTTAGTTGTAATGCTTGTGGGTGTTCTTGTACTGGTGTTAGCACAGAGCCTGTGTAACTTCGGCTAGCTGTAAAACTTCATGATCATTGGAAAGAGTAGCATATACTGCAGTGAATATTAACCTACATTTCTGCCTCATTTTTTTGATTGTTTCGTTTTGTTCTGTCTTTTAGACCTGGGAAGACCCTTTTCAGAAAGATAAGGACACTAACTGCTGTGGAGACAACGACCCCATTGACGTTTGTGAAATAGGCTCAAAGGTTTGTCCTACAGACTGCCTCAGACCTCTCATGTGTTTGGTTTATTCACGTCATAAAACTTCATTTTGGCCTCTGGTTCTTCCACTCTTCAGAGTCTGGGTGTATTCCTTCCTCGGATATAGAGACTTTAGTATATCCTCACTGCTTTTTCCTAAGTTCTGGCTTGGTGAACCGTGTGCAGCAGGTGGAATCCCGCCACCGCCTGGTTCTGATTCTGTACGTTACACAGCTGCCTTCCCGTGTGACTTGTCTAGTGCTGCTCTTAGGTCACAGCAGCAGAGCAGAAGAGGACTTGTAACAGGGACTGAAAGGCCTAAAATATTTGCCATCTGACCCTTTACTGGAAGTTTGCCAAGTCCCCTCTTCAGATTCCGTGCCATTGTCTAGACATTAAGTTCTGGACTGATGGGAACCAACTGCCCGAGCTGGGGAAATGGCTTCCGGGGGAAAACGCATGTGTGGTGATTTGAGTTCAGATCCCCAGAACCCAGGGAGAAGCCAAGCACAGTGACACACACCTGTAATTCCATTTCTGGGGAGGCAAAGACGGGCAGGGACCTGGCCCTTGCTCATGCACTTCCTAGGCTGGTTTGGTGAAGTTCCAGGCAGTTGGAAGACCCTGTCTCAAATAAAAGGTAGCCTAAGGAATGAGTCTGGTGACTGTCCTCTGACCACACGCGTGTATGCCTGCACTCGCACATGTGTATACAGGAGCACACACATATGAAAAAACAAAGCAACCCCCCAACCCCCGTTTTCACATCTGCTTCCCGGCTGCCGAGTGCCGTGGAGAGAAACAAGGTCCTGTGACGTGAGAGTCTGCGGGCTGGTCCTGCTCGGCTGTGGGCTGGTCCTGCTCGGCTGCGGGCTGGTCCTGCTCGGCTGCGGGCTGGTCCTGCTCGGCTGCGGGCTGGTCCTGCTCGGCTGCGGGCTGGTCCTGCTCGGCTGTCCTTCTGTCCGTTCAGTTCCTCCGTTTCCAACGTCCACTGCTAGCGCGTTGTCACTCTGTGGTGACCCCGTCTGGTTTAGATTCCCAGAAAAGCCTCTAGTCTTTGAGTGAAAGCTCTCGTGGACACCAGCAGGGGCGAGCTCCCTCAGCCTTCCCCTCAGAAGTGTGTGCGGTGGTCCATGCCACCCCCATAACCGCTACAGTTTTTATGTCCCACCTTTCTCTTTAGTGTCAGCCAGTATCATCTCTGGCTTCTTATCACAGGCATCCTCTCTGAACCTTTACACTTTAGCAAGCCCTGGAAGAAGAGCTTTCAGTGCCCGTCTCCATCTCCTCCTCCTCTCCTCGCCGTCCGCCGTCCATGCCTCTCCATTGTGAAGCTGGTTCTTCCTGTCCGCCATCATTTCAGACGAGCCATCATCGGGGTTCCCCATAGCTGCTGTAGAGGGGTATGGATTTCCGGTAGCACCGTCTCCCTGCCTTCCTCTCCCTCCTTTGAGACAGTCAAATGTTTCCTTGGCTTCTGTTAAGTCACACTACTTGGCTGTTGCTGCAAGCATTCTGGCTCCCTCCCTGTGGGTTCATTTGCAAGCGCACTTCCTCTTGCCTGCTCCTTAGACCTGGGGAGTAGGAGGGTGAGCCCTTGTCAACTCCTGTCCTTCTGTGCTCTTCCCCTAGGTGAGCCAAGGGTCCCTGGCTTTGCGCTTATAATCGACAACTTTAGCGCATATCCTTGCATTCAGCTGCATATATTTTTACTCAGATGTCTTTTAGGCCTCTCAAGTTTGTGTCCCAAGCTGTGTTCACTTTTTCTGATTTCCATTATTTTCCCTGGAGTAAATAAACAGAGAATACTACTGAAGACAACATGGCCGCTTCCTTGCCCATTTCCACAGTCCTCCACCAGAAACAGCGGGGTCATCTGGACTGCTTGCTTCTCTTCACCCCGTTAATGACGCAATATTGATTTTGTGTCCAAAGAGCTTTCAAAACTAATTTTTCCCTTCTTGCTGCCAGTAGCTTTGTCTAGTTCACTGTTAACGTCTCGCTTGATATATTCCTTCCAGTTTCCTTGCTAAGTCTCCATCCCTGTAAAATCTGCTGCCATGCTCCCTTGGATACCTGGTTCCTACCTCTTCTCCTGGACAAGTTGTTATGTTCTTCTGACTTAGCTGGAATCAGTGGTTGAAAACTTATGTTAGCATCTTCTAGTAATATTTATCTCTATGTATTTACTATTTTTGTTGTTTTTCTCCTCTTGTTTTTAATGTTCTTCATCATACTGATTACCCCTTCTTCATCCTCTCTTAATATTTCTGATGGGGGATGTCCTGTATGCTGTGAATGTGCTTCTCTTATTGGCTGATGAATAAACGCTTATTGACCAGTAGCCAGGCAGGAAGTATAGGCGGGGCCATCAAACTAGGAGAATTCTGGGAAGAGGAAGGCAGAGAGGAGCCACCAGAGAGATGCCTTGAGGCTACTCAGAGGATAGGATGCCAGGCATTCTCTGGTAAGATAAGGTCATGTAGAAATACATAGACAACAGTTTGGGGTTAATAATTAAGAGAGAGCCAGCCAGTAAGAAGCCTCAGCCATCGGCCAAACAGTTTATAGCAAATATAAGCCACTGTGTTTATTTGGGGCTAAACGGCTGTGGCACCAGGTGGGACAGAAACTCTGTCTACATATTTCCTGCCATTTGTTGCTTTTCACTTCCTGATTTCGTTTTACTTCCTATCTGTTTTTTTTTCTTCAGCATTCTCCTCCCCCTCCCCTTCTTGTCATCTCTCTCCTTATTCTTACTCCTTTTGTGAGGTGAGGGATTCTCATTCTACCTCGTAATTCTGATTTTATACCCAGATTTGTTAAAATTCGTGTTTATGTGACTGTTACTCTTGCCTGGCACATGTCTTCAACAGAAATATAAACAAATCATAACTTTTTTTTTCAAATTTAAGCTATAGTTTTCTGAGTTTATTTTTTTAGTATATTCTTCTAAGAAGTATAAATGATGTTTATAAAATTAAATAAGCTACAAGAAAGAAAGGTGTAGAGAGAAGTCTTCTCGCCAGCCTGGTTCCAGAGCCGCATCAGTCCCAAATAAACACACAGGAGGCTATATTACTTATGAAGCTGTTGGCCATTTGTTTGGTTTCATACTGGCTATCTCTGACTTAAGTATTTACTCCATAATTGTTAATCTAAGTATTTTTCTTACCAGAGAAAGGGTCTGGACTTCTTACCCCTGTGGTGGATACATTGTGACTCCCTGTGTTTCTCCTTCCTAGAGTCTTCCTTGACTCTAGTCCTACCTATCTTGCTTCCCTATTGGCTAACAGTGCTTTATTCAACAACCAATAAGAGGCAGATTTCAGAATGACATCTCCCATCAGAAAGGAATAAAGTATCTTAATGAATACCTCCTATGCCTATATTCCATGCTAGGCTCTTTGATCTCCAGCCCATATCTTATTTCATAACAAGTAAAGATAGCTAGGTTGAGTTACTTTTCATTGCTGATAAGACTATGTGTTTCTGACATGAGAAAGAATTCTCTTATTCTTAGGACATAACTGTTAGGGGGTAGTCCATTCATATTTAGTGCAAATTATTCAGTCAATTTAAACCTGGTATGAGTAAGAAGCTTAAACAAAGGCATCTTATTTTGATCAATGTACTGTGTCATTGACCACATAATTAGTGAGTTGTGACTAGAGGAAATGTTGGCAACATTTGTTGCTAATAAACTGACATGACACAGTCTCATTCATCTGTAAGCCAAGAGTAACTAAGAAACCTCAATGTGGGTTTAAAATAGAGGTTTCCAAGTTGAAGAATATTCAGTATAAAATTTAGGGTTGTTAATATGTGATTTTAATGTATAATTACTGAAGAGTATATTAACTAATTATTGTTATATTTTGCTAATCTATTCTAGAACTTACAATTTTAGGCCTGACTACTGTTTAAACCCTAGCCAGAAAATCCACCCATGTCTGGCATGGGCTTTTCTTGGTCCATGAAAATTACACTGTTTAAGCCTTTAAGTTGCAGTATTGCTGCACAACAATAGAAAACCGAGTTCACAAGTTAATATGCTTTAAACACTGTATTTCCCATTATTTTCTGTTGTTAACTGTGCATGGTTGACGTTTGCCTCCCTCAGAACTGAGTCAGCATGGAGCTTAGGTTTACAGGCCCCTCTTATGTTTGCTTATTCCAGGCTCCTGAGACTTAGCACTTGGAAGGTAAATTTCAATTAAGTAGATCCCAGAGGGGAAAATATGCTCTACAGAAGACCCCTTGGTCTTGAGTTCATATATCTACTTTTCCTTGACTCTTCAACACTGTGGGGAACTAATAGATCACCTTCACTTTACTGTGAGAAATTAAGACCTAAAACACTGTGTGAAGTAACTCGCCTGAAGTCATCTCTCAGGATTGTGGAGGACGGATGCAATCCAGCATTTGTGACTCACACTCCTGCCTTTTGAAATGTCCCCACAATAGCTAGAATAGCCTCTGCTTAGATTTTCCCGATACCTGGGGGCAAACAAACGCCCTAGCTTCAGAATCTCAACCTAGTTTACAAACTGAAAAATATGTTGCTCCCACGGAAGTGGTCACATCTACTGTATTCAGTCATTTCCTTGGAAGGGCAGAGTGACAATCCAGCTGGGAAAGTAGATGTCCTGTGACAGCTAAAGTAACTGATTCCTTTAGCCAGCATGAGCCGTGCAGAGCTTTCTAAATGAGAAGTAAATACAGTCACCTTTGATCAAAGCTGTGTCTGAAAAATGACCCTAAGTCTGTTGCAAGAAAAATGGCAGCGGGAAGTCTTTGAACACACATAGCTAATGGGTGAAGGAAAGAAACAGTGTCCTGTAAGTTGATACTAGACTGAGGGCCTCAGACATAGACATGTTGAACATTGTAAATTTCTTAAGCGATTGCGTATTATTTGTTTGGTTTTTATGAGAAGACTACACATACAGTCAGCATGAATTTGTTGAATTGATTTCAATTGGAGTGTAGCGGCTTTGTAAGGATTTTCCCATGTGTTCCTAAGCACACTTTACAGTTTTGAGTTTGAAGTTTCCTCTCTGTTTTGAAGGTGTTACAGCCAAGCTATGGTTTGTTTGAAATAAGGCTTCCTTTCTGTGTTCTTCTGAGATCAAAAGCTGTTTCATCTGATGAAACTTGACAGTCTACTGAACTTGCTTCCTCCTAGCCTCAGAGTCTACAAAGTAAACTCAGTGGTTGTTATTTTGTTGGGAAATAAGTTTTCTGAGTAAGAAAACAAAATAATTGAGAGAGGAAGTTCTCAAGAACTTCTGTAGCACAGCTCATGTTTGAGATGACTCAGTCTTTGTTAGACCAGTGCCCCTTGAGCATCCCCATCCTCTTCCATGGAGATACTAGACAACCAACAGTATCTCCGACAGTCAGTGTCTCCTAGAGGTGAAAACTGCCTTGGCTACCCAACACAACCAGCTTTTAATTGGTACATGCACATAGCTTCAAACTCAAGGTGTTTTAAGAAGACCTTACAATCCCTTTGGTCTTGTGTGTCATGTGCTCCTGAAGCCTTGTTCTTAAGGGTTTATACTCTAGATGCTGTAATTCCTTCTCCTGACAGTGCCCTAGGTCCTTCTGCCTGTTTCTATTCACTGAGCTTTCTCTGTCCACATCTTTTTAGAATGGAAAACCACCAGTGAATGCTGTGACCCAGCCCGTGTTAGGCTTAGCTACCAGCTGCAGTCTCTCTAAAGAAGGAAGCTTCACTCTCATTCATTCAGTCCCACTAACCTACTGTGTGACAGTCACTTCATGGGCACTTCGATTAAGACTTTCATTTTGCAAATATTTTGAATGAATTTACTTGATTTCCTGCTTTAACATATTTTCTCTAAACCCTTTTGGGGGTACATAAATGACTTTGTCTTGCATACCTTATTTTGTAAAATGTAAACCTGCATTTTGGACCACGAGGAAATTTGTTATCTGAAACACATTTAGAGTTTTAAGCTTACAAGGGAATTTGATTCCCTACTAAACCTTTGAAAATAAAACACTGTAGGAATATTTGAGGTGTTAGCAACCCATGGGCACTGAAACCACTTTCTCAAGCTGTGGAATATCAGAGTAAACTTCTGATACAGTCTGTGTAGTATGTGGCTGCATATAGACGTGTGTGTGTGTGTGTGTGTGTGTGTGTGTGTGTGTGTGTGTGTACACGTACGTGGGAGAGGGCATGTAAATCTATGTTATACGATGTGGCTGTCACAGGTCAGCCTCTGGTGTCATTCCTCCACAGGTGCCATCTACTGTTTTTTGAGACAGAGTTTCTCATGGACCCTAGGCTTTTGCTTATTCGACTTGGTGATCAGAGACTCGGGGACCCCCTGTTTTTGATTCTCAGCACCGGGATTACAAACCCTAAACCCAACTTTTGACAAGAGTCCTGCGACTCAAACTCAGGGTCTCATGCTTACATAGCAAGTGATGTGGGGCTGAACTGTTTTCGTAGCCCAGCTTCGTCTTATTGAATTATCCTAAACTCACTTTTAAGCATCTTGACAAACCGATTTTGTCTTTTTCTAGCATTAACAATTGTTTCATTGCCATCCGTTGTCTTCTTAAGACAATCATTTTGATAGTTTTTAGGCATGAAAGTATAACACTTGTTGGGACTGGTCTGCACTGACCTTTTCCTAAGGACACTTTCAGCCTCTTCTACACTGTGTATATTTCTGGAGTAAAATCTTGACTCCAGTCTATGATGCAGGGATTGTAACTGCCTCATTCTCCCTGGTGGCAGTGATGCAGGGATTGTAACTGCCTCATTCTCCCTGGTGGCAGTGGTTGTTTATTTTTAAACTTTATTTCATTTGTTTGTTTAGTGTGTGTGTGTGTGTGTGTGTGTGTGTGTGTGTGTGTGTGTGTGTGTGTGCTCATGCACAAGCGCTCGTACCGTGGATCAGATGTGGAGGTCTGGGGACACCTTTTGGCGCCCACTTCTGTGGCCTGTGCTCCACAGTTGCATTGGGCAGAAAGCCCAGGCAATTTGTAGGACCCTCCTCTTTGAGTAACTTCCCTCAGAGTCTTGGTCCTACACTGTCTGTTTAATGTCTGGTTTTCCGGAAGGATATAAGGCTTTGCTTGTTTGTTTTGGTTATTTAACCAATAGTCCTTTCACGGGTGGAAGTAGAAGTTTTAAGGTACTTATTCCTGGGAAAGAGACTGCAAGGCAGGCTTTCTGACCATTTCCACATGGTTTATAGTCACTAGAACTGTTGCATTTCCATTGTGTGAGTGTGGTTTTATGGTCACACCCTCCCAAGCCTTGCAAACGATGGTGTCTTTTCTCTGTCAAGGTTCTTTCCTGTGGAGATGTGATCCATGTGAAGATCCTTGGGATTCTGGCACTTATCGATCAGGATGCCACAGACTGGAAAATAATTGCTATCAATGTGAATGATCCTGAGGCTGAAAAATTTCATGGTAAGTCTAGATCTTTCCAGAAAACAGAAGTTAAATCAGCGAGTCATTGGAATTCTTAGAACTGAAAAGGGAAACAACGCAAACACACTTTGTATATGTAGGTGTTAGACAGCAGTTTAAAACCCTTTTACTATAGACCACAGAGGCTAGTCTAAGATATTTTTGTATGAGCTGGGTCATATTGCTAGGAGGAGGAAGGGGAAAAATATGAGATAGACAAACGGTATTTTGTATGGGACACAAAGAAATGTGTTGTGTCCATTTCTGCTTACTCCTTCGCCTCCCCCTTCCTTTCCTTCCATCTTGTCTCCCCATTTCATCCTCCTAGGTTCTTTTTACCCATGTGTTCTTAGTTCTTTGAGTAGCTGCTTTTATTCTGTAGCAGGTGTTTATATGGCTAGTTTTCAATTTGTGTGCTTTCTTTATTGACGTGATTTGACACTTAAAAAGACAGGGACTTAAAATTTTCCTGATTCTGCTGTATTTCTTTTTTTTATATTTTGTTTCTTCTTCAATTATCTTACCACATCTAAAGCTGTGTTTATGTTGGAGGAACTCTTTCCCCTGGGAGATGTGAACATGCATCTGTTCCCTTCTTCCAGGGCAACAACAAACCCAAGTCCATTCCACCGAAGTCCACCTGGGGGAGCCAGTGATTCAGAGCGTCATTCAGAGCATGGGTGAGGGTTGTTTACAGGTGCATAGGTGACATCAGAGCATCAGGAAGCCATCCCTGGGTGGGTGGTGACTTCCATTTAGATGGCATGCCCTTCAGGTGACCTTCCAGTCTGTATGCTCCTGTCCCTCCTGAGATCGAGCACAAGGGTATCGAGGGTGTGTGCAGTTAAGGCAGAATTGTACACAGTAGCTGAGCGTGTCAGGGGAGGGTGACAGATGTATTAATGGTCTGATTACCATCCCTGCTATCATCCTTCAATGAGAGAACATCACCAGGTCCCGGTCTTGAGGATCTCCCCACAAGTGCTCACAACTGCTCTGATGAAGGTGGCCACTGTTAGGCTTAGATGCTAGCACTATGTAAGATTTGTCACTTCACTGACTTCAAGCAATGACTCCAGACTGCCCAGTGTAGAACTTAGGTTTTGAATTTTCTTTATCGTTCTCATCCATCACTTACGTCCTAGTTCCTCACAGCCTTACTGTTTGTCTGTAGATGGGTAGTGCGTGCCTAGCATGTTTCTGGAAGCTTTGTGATAACAGCAAAAAAAGAATGCAGTCTTTATATTCTTCAAATATTATTTGTTCATGTTTGTCTCTTGGTTAAATCTTACAATTTAAAACTAAGTGGAGTTTATAATGTCACTGTGTAAGATTAAGTGATCAGCTAGTTGATTAGATCTGTTAAGCGATCAGTTCTGCTTGGGCTCTTCTCTGAGCCTGCTACATGGCTACCATAGGCATCGCTCTAGTGTCTTCCCATGCTGTCTTAGACTACAGTCTTCAAATTTATTTTTATTATTAATTTTTATCTTCATTGTTAGCTACCATGTATTTTCCAAGATATTCTATAAGAACTTGTGTATCACATCGGTTCTCCCATGTCTGTCTGAAACGCTTCTCTTTTTAACATGTCTTTAAAACTTGTAGTGCAGTGACTTGAAATATAAATTGCCATGTAGAGTTGAAATTTCTTTCACAAAGAAGGAAGTGGTTTTGTGGCAATTTAAATATTGTCATCGGTATTTTTGGCATTTTGCTTTTCTTTTTCCTTTTTATTCCTAGAGAATGTCTTTCATGTATACATGATCAGATCCTCTCTCTACGTCTTAGTCCCCCTCCAGCTCTCACTAGATTTCCTTTAACATGTCCCAAATTCATGTCCTCTTATTGGTTTTTTGAGGAATAGCTCCTGGAGTCTAATTAGTGCCGCGCGTGTGTGGGTAGGTAGGGGCTGACACCTGGAGCGTGGGTACTGACTCCCTCAAGGAAGAGGGGTGATTCTCCTTCCCCCTGTAGCCCATCACTGCCAGGACCTCCTCAGCAAAGGGCGGGGCCTCAGGCACTCCTTCTCAAGTTCCGCTGACTTAACCTCGCGGGTCTTGTGAAGGTAACCACAGCTGTGTAAGTTCATGTGTGTCACATTCCGAAGACAAGACTTCACCTCACTGCCCCCATCCTCCAGCTCCTGTTTTCTCTCTGCTGCCACCTCCTGGATGTTCCCTGAGATTTGATGGAGGGTAGAGGAAGGTGGTCCTTGATAAAGATGTTCCGTTTAGGGCTGGGCATGCGCAGCCACTTGTTCTCGGCACCCTGACCAATTACGAGTTGATTGCTGCCGCATGCAGAATGATGCTTTTCTGATCTCCCTTTTCTTTACAGCTGAGTAATACTCCATTGTGTTTACGTACCACATTTTCCTTATCCATTCATCTAATGATGGGCATCTAGGTTAATTCTGTTTCCTAGAAGTTTAATTCTGTTTCCTCCAAGTTTGTGCAGATGTCTTTGCAGTAGGAGACAGAGTCCATTGAGTATGTACCCAAGAGTATTACAGCTGGCTCATACCACAGTTCTCTCGATAGCTTTCTGAGAAACCTCTAGACCGATTTCCACAGTGGCACACTAGTTTACACTCCCACCAGCAGCACACAGGAGCTGCCCGTCTGCTGGGTCCGCACCAGCATCCGTTATCACCAGCATCCGTTATCAGGTATGTTCCTGCTGCCGTTTGACTGGGTTGACATGACTCTTGAAGTATTTTTAATTTGCATTTCTGTACTGGCTAAGGATGTTGAACACTTTTCTTTTGAGAACTCTGTTCAGATCAACAGCCCGGTTTTTAATTGGATAGGTTTTCTTTCTTTTTTTTTTAAATTGCTTTTTGTTTTTTTGTTTTTGTTTTTGTTGTCTAAATTCTAGACACTAATCTGTCCAGTATATACCTATCAAAGATTTTCAACTGTTTTGTGGGGTGCCTCTTCTCTTCACTGACAGTTCCCTTTGCTGTAGAGAAGCTTTTAAGTTTCATGAGATCTCTTTTGTTGGTGGGTGGTACTGTCTCCTGTGCTAACAGAGTTCTCACCTGTGCCCAGAAGTTAATGTGTAGTTCCTACTTTTTCCTCACATGGTTTCACGGTGTCGTGTCTTATTGCACTAGTTACTTTTGCTTTGCTAAAACACCACACAGGGAAGGCAACTGTTTTGGGGCTAAGGTTCCAGGGTGATGAGAGCCCATCCTGATGAGGAGGTGGGGAGCCTGGCAGCTAGCAGCAGACACGGTGGCAGGAGGATCCTCTTCAGATGCAAGCCTGAAAGAGAGCACTGGAAGTAGCAAGGGGCTTTTAATCTCAAAACCTACCCTAGGCACACTTCCTCCAGCAAGGCTACACCTCCCACATTTCCTCCAGCAAGGCTACACCTCCTAACCCTCCCCAGACAGTGTCATAACTGGGGACCAAGCGTTCACATGCCTGAGATTATGGAGCCTCTTCTCATTCATACCGCTACTCTTGTCTTTGACCCATTTGTAGCTGAGCGAGAGATCAGGATCTGGTTTCATCTTTCAGCATTTTGAAATTCTATTTTCCCAGCACCATTTGTTAAGATACTGTCTTTTTTTTCTAATGTATAGTTTTGACATCTAAATGGGGACATAGTCTGGATTCCCAGTTAATCTGTGCATCTGTTTTTGTTCCATTACCATACTATTTTTTTTTATTACTATAGCCCTGAGATACAGGTCGAAATCAGGTTTGGTGAGACCTTCTGTAGAATCATTTTTGTTCAGGGTTGCTTGACTAGCCTTGTGGTGTGTGTGTGTGTGTGTGTGTGTGTGTGTGTGTGTGTGTGTGTGTGTGTGTGACTCCTTGGGATTTTTCACAGACAAAAATAAGAGGAAAGACTTTTTTAAAAAGTTCGGGAAGGGCTCTTCTCTGGAAGCTTTAAAAATATTCTTCCATCTTCTCTACCCATCAAGGCGCGAGAGCTGATGCAGATGCAGTTATGGCTGCTGCCCAGGCAAGGTGGTAACTTAAAGGACGCAATCACAGAGCTGGCTGTCAGGGCGTGTCTAGCTGCAGTTCCAATGGGCTGCACCAATCATGGGGGCCTTGGGCAGTTAGAGTCGTGGCCCATCCTGTGCTGTGCTCACCCATTTGTCTAATGATAGGTCAGTGGTTGCTGTCATGTATCTTCTGTATGACCAAGGTAAGGGGTTCTGCATTCTCTGTTCCAGTGTTTGATAAGTTCATGGGCCCGATTTCTCTGTGTGGTTTCTTGGAGAGGGGAAGTATATCTTGGTGATCTGATAGTTACTTCTGTCTGTAGTTCTTTGAGGAACCTCTATTATAATTTACACAGTGGCTGAACTCACTGGTACTCCCACCAGCTGACCAATGAGTGGCAGTGTTTATTGGTATAAGGTGATGACCATTCCGTGCCTCCTGCTGTGGGCTGGCCAGCCACTGGTGGCTTTCCTGCAGAATGATGCAGAGGCATTTGCTTTAGCCCTGGCTGTCACAGTGGAGCCAAGTGCTACATCGTAAATTGGCCTCACTAAATTAGTCCAAGAAACAGACCAAAACTGTTGTTCCATGCAACACAGAGTAATTTAAAGCAGACTACAACCTGACCACAATGTATCTATCTATATATTTCTTACTATTTTCATATAGACATGCTTGTGGAGTGTCCAAGGAAATTTTGGAGTTCTTTTGTGTGTAATGAAATGGCTTCTTTTATTTTATCCAGTGAAAACATGTGCAGACTTTGGTAGGCTACAGTATGCTGCTTTGTGTTTATAGTGTTTAGCTTCAACTTGACTGAACTGAAAGGAGTCATTGCATGAGAGAACATTTCACTTAGCAAAATCTGTTGTTCCCGGCTGAATTAATGCAATCTTAATAGTAATAGCCAGGCATAGCGGCTTATATCTATAAATACCAACATTTGAGAAGTTGAAACAAGAGGGTTGCTTGAGTTTCAGGTCAGCATGAACTATATAGTGAGAGCCTGATTCAGAACATTTAAAGGCTAAATAA